ATTGTTTACACTAGAATTGTGATATTTTTTAATTAGTTATTACAACTAAGCGAAGACATCTTGCACTGCCCAGAAACACATAGAGTTGATTTATGTTTAAACTGACGTTAATGATAAAGTAGTTGTAGAGTTATCTCAACTAAAACAACAAGTAGAAAGATGAACAATTTGGTGGGTTGCTAACTTTCTGGTTTGCTATCTTAGTAATGGTTTCTTGCTTTGTTCTTGGGCTTGTTGTGTAGAGAAACAAATGAAAGTGAGTGGCAATCATCTTTTAAAGTAAAACTCTCTGTCATTGTTGATTTTTTGGCATGTATACTTCTATTATGTCTATTGAGTACCTTGGCCATCCCTACATATAGAGTCTACTGACTCTGTGATATCTGTTTCAGTTTCTGTTCGGTTGAACCATTAAATAGTTCTACCATAAAAATAATAACTGTTATAGATGTTACTTCAATTAAAAATTCAGCTGAGTCAAAAATGTAGCTAAATTCATAATCTACTGACAAAATCAACAAACTCGTAAAAATAAGGAGAGATAATCACAGATCTTTTAACTGAAGGTTCTCAGTAAATAAATTTGTTTGAAAAGTGATTTATTCTACACAAAGAATTTTAACTATTTTGACATTGAAACCAAATGGGGGGGAAAAAAGCAAACAAAAATAATGTAAAATAGAAAGTTTTAGAAAAGGGTAATATATAGTATCATTTCTGACACTAAATATTAGAGTGATACATTTTTAAACTGAAGAAAACACAAAACTCTTCTTACCGGCCACAACTATCAACAACAATTCCATGGGGTACATCACTGTATCCTAAGTGTATTATACATTTTGATGGGACACCTGCATCAATAATAAGTTGACAAATAGATGGGTCAATACTCTCAGTGAAATAGAGGACTCCATCTTTGGAGTCATAAGCCAAACCCTGGATGTGTAACAAGCCACCTAAAAGAAACAAAGATATTCTCGTACAAACTAAAGTAACAAGCAAATAGTTTGCTTAATTCTCACACACAAATGGCTCTAGAGACATCCTAGATGTTATAAACAAACCTCTCATTATTCTACTATCAATCCTAAACAACAAGCTGAAAACATAGCAAGTAAGGTTTACTAAAAGCACTGTAGGTCCTCAGCTAATACAGACATGATTAAACTTTACTGGAAGCACTGTAGGTCCTCAGTTAATACAGACATGATTAAATTCTACTGGAAGCACTGTAGGTCCTCAGCTAATGCAGACATGATTAAACTTTACTGAAAGCACTAGGAAGGCATCAGTCATGAAAAAACATGATTAAGGTCTATTAGAATCACTTGGAAGTTGTCAGCTAGAATAAACATGGTTAAGGTCTATTAGAATCACTTGGAACTTGTCAGCTAGGATAAACATGATTAAGGTCTACTAGAATCACTTGGAACTTGTCAGCTAGGATAAACATGATTAAGGTCTACTAGAATCACTTGGAACTTGTCAGCTAGGATAAACATGATTAAGGTCTACTAGAATCACTTGGAACTTATCAGCTAGGATAAACATGATTAACGTCTACTAGAATCACTTGGAACTTGTCAGCTACGATAAACATAATTAAGATCTACTAGAATCACTTGGAACTTGACAGTTAGGGAAAACATGATTAAGGTCTACTAGAATCACTTGGAACTTGTCAGTTAAGATAAACATGATTAAGGTCTACTAGAATCACTTGGAACTTGTCAGTTATATCTGACAAGTTCCAAGTGATTCTAGTAGACCTTAATCATGTTTTCCCTAACTGACATGTTCCAAGTGATTCTAGTAGACCTTAATCATGTTTCCCTAACTGACATGTTCCAAGTGATTCTAGTAGACCTTAATCATGTTTATTCTAGTAAACATGATTAAGGTCTACTAGAATCACTTGGAACTTGTCAGCTAGAATAAACATGATTAAGGTCTACTAGAATCACTTGGAACTTGTCAGTTAGGGAAAACATGATTAAGGTCTACTAGAACCACTTGGAACTTGTCAGCTACAATAAACATGATTAAGGTCTACTAGAATCACTTGGAACTTGTCAGTTAGGGAAAACACGATTTAGGTGTACGAGAATCACTTGGAAATTATAAATGAACTATATTATGATAAAACATACCACATAAAAATAGTACTTCTATTATAAAAAATTTATAAAACAGTGTTACAAGAAAAATACGTTAAATAAGAAGATACATGTTCAAATCAAAACAACGAGTGATAAGATCCATTCATTACCATGAACAAGATGTTTCAAGTCTGATCCATCTTTCTTCACTTGAAAAATCCCTTTTCCCTGTTTCGTTTCAGCAAAATAGATCATGTCATGAGTACTGTCATAAGCCAAAGCTACCAATTCTAATGCCTCTACAAATGGCACAATTGGAGGCACTGGAGGGTTTGGATTAGTTGAATCTTCCAACGACAAACTTTCGATGGTATTCCCATTGGTCCACAAGATAAACTGGGTATAATCTATGAAAAACGAAATGATATTAACATCTGTAAGACCTTTGTATGATCCAAACATATTACATGAAAATAGCATTTCTATTACAGTAAGAAAATTCCAAAAACTTATAAAATATTGTTACAAGAACATTATTTTCACAGTGAATAAGAATGAGGTCATTCACATCAAAATTTGTCATTACAATCAAAAGAGTAAGATGTAAGATGTTTTCTGACAGTACATTACAAAAAACTCAAAATAATCTTTGTCCTGTTTTAACAACTACAACTTATAAACTGCTAATATTCATAAAGTAGAATTAATAAAAAAGTGATAATGAGACCTTAAACACATATTCGTACGGGCTAAGGGAGCAAATACCCCACCCCCCAGAAAAAAATTTGGACAGACCAAGTCGTTTGAGAAGACCATTTCCTTAAATTTGGGCAAAAATAGGAAAAACTAATTTCATTTGCAGAGGTAAAGAATCCGGCATACTTCCATACCAGCGTAGGTGGAAAAATTAAGTATAATAGTACTAGTGGTGGAAATATTTCCTCTTGAATTTAATATTTATTCCTCTTTCAAAACTATTAAGTCTCATATCTTGCACAGAAATTATGCTTTAAGCTTGTCATTATCATTATATAATTTATTGTTGATAAAATTTTGTGAAATCCAAAAAATACTTGATCTACTGATATTTGGCAATACACATATTGATTATTTGTATGCATATGTGTCCCAATGAATTTCACTTTGTACACATTTACTATCAGGATACTAATTTTTTAATTTCAGATCCTTGGGAGTCACAGTTTCACAAAAATGTCATCATCGTCCGTAACCCAAAATGTTGCATAAGCATGTCATCGTCGTCCGTAACCCAAAATGTTGCATAAGCATGGCATCATTGTCCGTAACCCAAAATGTTGCATAAGCATGGCATCATTGTCCGTAACCCAAAATGTTGCATAACCATGGCATCGTTGTCCATGATCCAAAATGTTGCATAAGCATGTCATCGTCGTCCGTAACCCAAAATGTTGCATAAGCGTGTCATCGTCGTCCGTAACCCAAAATGTTGCATAAGCGTGTCATCGTCGTCCGTAACCCAAAATGTTGCATAAGAATGTCATGTGCAAATAGTATGGGAAGGATATTGACTCGGACTATAAAGACAATCATGTGAAAAAAATTTACAAAGGCAATGCAAATCAATCAGAACTCAATAGCTTCTTCATTGGGAGCATGAAGCATTGAAATCTGGAAGCTGCCGAGGAACAAGCAAGCTGAAGCAATGACAGTGTTTCTGTCAATCCTTGCACACAAAATAGTTTATCAGAAGAAATTATTCAATCGAAAGAAATGGTCCATCCAGAAATAGGATTAGAGGAGATCCCCAATGCTGATTGCTGTGTGTGATTCAGACTTTACTACAGAAAATACTAGTCCAGAAGCACAGCTTGTTGTGTCTGAGACTGACATCAATTCCGCTGTCATATCAGTCTCAACCATAGATCAGACTGTTCCCAATATTTTTCATGTGAAGAATGACATTGTAAATGATTCATTCAGGATGGGCTAAATGAATTACTACCTGTGCTATACAAGATAGCGATCATCCTGGCATCAATTCTGGACACTTCATGTTTGGCAGAAAGATCCTTCAATGGATTGCTACTCATGAAGACCTACCTCCATACAACAATGGGACAAGACTGTTTGAATAATATTGCTACTATTAACACTGAACGAGCTTATGATACTAGGGCTATAGAAAATTACATAGACAAAGTTATCAAAACCTTCAGTAGGACAAAGGGGGAGATTCATATTTTTCTGAGCCTATGATATTGCATTTAATAGTTGTATTTAGTAATCCATGTGTATCGTTTCATTTCCATCATTTTCTCATATTCAGGATGAATATCTTTTTGTTGCATATTAAACTGTATAAATTTGTGTTATTATCCAAATTCGAGGCATTTTCTGTTGTAACTTTTCCAGGAGTTATGTGCTGGCCTGCTGATGAGATAGTCAAACAGATGAAGAAAAATGCATCATTAACCAAGACAGATTCAATATTTTTAAATCAGCTCAAGTTGTTACCTTGAATTCACATGTTTATATTCAAAAATTTGGTGTGATTTGGTTTGTTTGGAATTTCGTGCAAAGCTATACAAGAACTATCTGAGCTATCTGTCCCTAATTTAGCAGTGAAAAACTAGAGGGAAGGCAGCTAATCAACACCACCAACTCTTGAGCTAATATTTTACCAAGGAGAGAGAAGCTTTATTATTTTACTACAGCTTCTTGGTCAATATCCAGCTAACAGGTTAAGGAGTACAGTTATTATTACTTTACTGCAGCTTTTTGGACAGTGTCATGCTAACAGGCCAAGGAATAAGGCTATTATTACTTTAGTGCAACTTCTTGGTTAGTGTGAAGCTAACAGGTCAAGGAGTAAGGTTATTATTACTTTACTACAGCTTCTTGGTCAGTGTCAATCTAACAGGTTAAGGAGTAAAGCTATTATTACTTTACTACAGCTTCTTGGTCAGTGTCAATCTAACAGGTTAAGGAGTAAAGCTATTATTACTTTACTACAGCTTCTTAGTCAGTGTCAAGCTGACAGGTTAAGGAAAGAGGCTATCAATACTTTACTACAGCATCTTGGTCAGTCAGTGTCAAGCTAACAGATCAAGGAGTGAGGCTATTATTTCTTTATTACAGCTTCTTGGTCAGTGTCAATCTAACAGGTTAAGGAGTAAAGCTATTATTACTTTACAGCAGCTTTATGGACAGTGTCAATCTAACAGGTTAAGGAGTAAAGCTATTATTACTTTACTGTAGCTTTATGGACAGTGTCAATCTAACAGGTTAAGAAGTAAAGCTATTATTACTTTAGTACAACTTCTTTGTCAATATCCAGCTAACAGGTCAAGGAGAGAGGCTATTATTACTTTAGTACAACTTCTTTGTCAATATCCAGCTAACAGGTCACGGAGAGAGGCTATTATTACTTTATTGCAACTTCTTGGTCAATATCCAGCTAACAGGTCACGGAGAGAGGCTATTATTACTTTAGTTCAACTTCTTGGTCAATATCCAACTAACAAGTCAAGGAGAGAGGCTATTATTACTTTAGTTCAACTTCTTGGTCAATATCCAGCTAACAGGTCAAGAAGAGAGCCTATTATTACTTTATTGCAACTTCTTGGTCAATATCAGCTAACAGGTCATAGGAGAGAGGCTATTATTACTTTATTGACCTGTTAGCTGGATATTGACCAAGAAGTTGTACGGAGAGAGGCTATTATTACTTTAGTTCAACTTCTTGGTCAATATCCAGCTAACAGGTCAAGGAGAGAGGCTATTATTACGTTAGTACAACTTCTTGGTCAATATCCAGCTAACAGGTCAAGGAGAGAGGCTATTATTACTTTAGTTCAACTTCTTGGTCAATATCCAGCTAACAGGTCAAGGAGAGAGGCTATTATTACTTTAGTACAACTTCTTGGTCAATATCCAGCTAACAGGTCAAGAAGAGAAGCTATTATTATTTCACTGCAGATTTTTGGTAAGTGGGTAAACTTCACCTTGCAAAAACACAATAAATTAATCATGAAGAGATGAGGATGCGAAAGAGAAATAAAAAAGATGAATAATAAATGTAGTATCTAAACCTATTTCTCTAGCTGATGTAAACAGATCACAAGATCTCCCATCAAATCTTAGCTTTCTGTACAAATAATAATTATGTTTGTTACCTTACCTAATAAAAACACATAATCTAAACACATTTCTATAGCTGCTAAATATAAAAGATACCTTCACAAGATCTCCCATCAAGTCCTAGTTTACTGTACACACATGCACAATTATGATGTTTGTGACCTTCATAGAAACAGAGATGCTGACAACCTCCATTTCTGTAACTGCAGATATTAGATCCTAAAAGAAAAATTCAATTTTCAAATATTCACATAACAAAATGTGTTATTCAAAACAAGATAACTCAGACTTAATCAGTTATATCACACAAAACCACAGTCAGAATTATTAAAAAACATGTGGATGTTGAAATACATACCATTCTGTTGCTCTCTGTCAAACACATGTAGTAGCTTTATATTGGTATTATTAAATAGCTCTATTTCGTCACCTGAACCATTTTTGAATGACTTGAATATTCTTTCTTCATCTTTATGCCTGAAAGATAATATATTTAAATAGCATCACCATTAAGAATTAAAATATTTTTTGAAATCCATACTTGACAGTGATTTTCGAACTAAGAAAAACAGTGTAAGATTGTTGGAGTATAAAAATATCTTTATTAAAAAACTTACATTGATTACAATAGTCAGTGAAGAAATGTGTTATTTCTGCAAATGTGTGCAATTGTTCATTTCTGTAACTTAGAACAGCATTTACATAATAATTGCAGTTTTGAACTTCAACACAATAACTGTTTTGTACCACATCACACTAATATTAATTTATTTGTGAGTTTGGTGCCTGCTATAATTAAATACTGAACTAAAACCCAACCTTTTGATAACTAATTTGTTTAGTATTTTATTTGTTACTAATCTGAACATTTTATTATCTCTAGTAATGTTTATGGAAGATATGAGAGTAAGGCTTAGCAAAACTAAGTAAATCTTTTGATTTAAAAAAGAGTGAGTTTGTGCATAACAATATTAAATTAATAGAATTTGTATTTCATTTTTTAAGTTTCAAGACTATTTTACAAGAAGATATAAAATAATGTCTATATATATATTTGGTGAAATATAAATACTTTAAAATGTAATAACCTTCAAACAAAGAAATGGAGTGATGTATAGGTTAGTTTAAAACCCTCAAATTGTCAACATTCTCAAAAATGGTGACCGACCAGTAACCCAGACCATTCCATGTTGCATGGAATTCTGATTTTTGTTCTCATGCAACTCTAGATAATTATGATACCAAGCAACTCAAGTGCACAAGATCTGATCTGTCATAAAAAGCACTGCTCAGTAACTGAAATCACATTTCCTTTCCTCAGTCAGAAGCTTAAGGTGTTACTGGCAAGAGTTTCTTACAACAAAATGAGATATCACCTCAAGTTGCACTTAGTCTTTGTCCTACTGAATTGCTGAAAAGGTCATGTGAGCCACTTGTCTGGCCACCTTGCTCTACATACATAATGCTGTTGACTTCCAGCTATGGGAATACAGAAAGTCTAGTGTTGTAATCACTCATCTAGTCTTAAGGATGGCATTAAAAGAAACAACTTATACAATATCCAGTAATTCACTTATTTATCTGTTTGACTAAAGGTAAAAATTCCTTCACAGTGGAGGTGGTATAAAAGTTGAGGGTATGCAGCTATGGACTTTACTGAATGTATGCAGATATGTGCTTTACTGAGGGTATGAAGATATGGACTTTAATGAAGGTGTGAAGATATGTGCTTTACTGAGGGTATGCAATTATATACTTTAATAAAGGTATGCATATATGGACTTTACCGAAGGTATGCAGATATGGACTTTAATAAGGGCGTAGCATATATGGACTTTAATGAAGGTGTGAAGATATGTACTTTACTGAGGGTATGCAGATATGGACTTTACTGAATGTATGCAGATATGTGCTTTACTGAGGGTATGCATATATGGACTTTACCGAAGGTATGCAGATATGGACTTCATTGATGTATGTAGATATAGACTTTAATGAATGTATGTAGATATGTGCTTTACTGAGGGTATGCATATATGGACTTTAATGAAGGTATGCATATATGGACTTTACTGAAGGTATGCAGATATGGACTTTACTGAAGGTATGCAGATATGGATTTTATTGAGGTTACGAAGATGTGTACTTTACTGCATATTTCTGTCTTTCCACTCTTTACAAACTCTTACATTTTAAAGTATTTAGAACCAATTTTAGAGACTCACTTGTAGAAAGGACATTGTTTCTTAAAGGTCTCCCAATATCTAACAATAATGACATGTTTAGTATCTAAAATCAAAGAAAGATCCAGACTTCATTCCTCTTCAAGAAACATATTATATCATCTTGTTTACCTTTCTTTTTCCTCATCTTACCACACATATAACTTTATTACTGACAATCTCTTAAAACAACACTGATGACAACTCATACAGCATGAATCAAATATTTTAAGTTTGTTGTCCCCCAGTGGGACAGCAGTAAGTCTACAAATTTACAATGTTAAAATCCAGAGTTTGATTCCTACAGTGGACACAGCAGATAGCCCAATGTGGTTTTGCTCTAAAACAAACAAACTAATCTGTTACCATACCACACCCCTGAAAAAGAAAGGTCAACCTTTCAAAAGTGTTTGAGTTATAGGGTTTTTATGACTTTACAGTAAGATTTGTGAACCTACGTGTTTTTCTAACAACATAAAATTGTCATTGGTATTTAGATCACTACCAACCTGTCAGTCCAAAACAAGTAGATGGAGGATACAGCTACTGATAAAGGAAAATGTCTGCCAGACTCCAGGAAAACTTCCTGATTTAACCCTTCAAGGTTAGAGCGAATTATTACTCTAGTTACAGGATCACACCAATAAAAAACATTCTCTATGACATCCAGAGCAATATCACCGATCTTGTAGTTCTTTGAGGTAATAGTGATTCTTTGTTTCCCCGACAAAAGAGATCTTTCAATTTTTGACCCACCATAAACATCTGTCCAGAATAAATATCTGGATGAAAAAGCAAGAAAGTTATTACTGAGGATACACACAAACACATAAATATATATATATATTTACAAATACATCATTGCCTTGAAATTAAACAATTGACAAAAAAACACAGATGTGGTTAATGAGATATCTTAACACAGATTTTTGGATATTATATTCATACAAACAATCGTATTAAAACGTATTAAAGTGGATTTCATTGACTTTTATAATTGCTTCTTTGTATTACTTCATTTCTTCAAGTTCTGATAAAGAAAGAATACAGGAAAGATTAATTATACACAATTTTTTTCTCTCTTCTCACACTTTTAACATCAGCTCACCAGTGCTGGATTTCCTGTTTAGTTAAGGTGCTAAGTTCTTTATGGCTAATGTTTCTTTTAACCCTAGCCACTGCTCACTTTCAGCCATTCCGATAATTTGGAATTGTTTAACTACTTTGTTTCTAACAGGCTTTGATCTGGTTTTGTAACAGTTAGTATTTAAAAATAGCATAATAAATTAAGATTTCGGATCACCTACATGGTCTGATGTCATGAAACCATTAACGTTTATTAAGATGATACAAAATTCACGTTGTAAAAAAAAAAGTAGTTGTTAAAATGACTAAAGTGCAAAAAAATAAACTACAGAATGTTAATTAATGTATAAAACTAAGACCGTTCATTCTTTAGAGTAAAATATCATTTATCAAAGAGGGACTGTGAACTATACTCCTTTCACTAATTACATATTGTGAACAGAGTATTGTCTGTGTTCTACCTCAGTTTAAGTATGGCCTACACAACAATTGTAACATGACATACTGTAATACAGAATATGGATTGTGTTCTGCTTCATTCAATATAAACATGACCTACACAACACTTGTAACATGACATACCGTAATACATAATACGGATTGTGTTTCGCTTCGTTCAACATAAACATGACCTACGCAACACTTATAACATGGGTTTTCAATAATGTGTCCTTTTTCCTCTAAAATAGCAAAAAAACATACTGAAGAGACATTGTGTTTTTATACAAGACACAATTCTACAGACAATGTGTACATTTGTGCATCACCATGTGATTACTTTTTGACATAAATTTTAGTATCTCTGACAATTAATGGGGAACTGTATTCAGAATTGAAAGGATACTTTAAGTAACAACATTAAAAACAAAACAGGGATGACAGGGAGGCAGCTGAGATATTTTAAGAAAAATTAAGTAGGATTTTTGAAAGCTGATAACTAAGGTAAATATTTTAAATGTACCTATACCAGAATTTCAACAATAAAATGATATTAAAACAATCAAAAGTGGCCATGCTTGGAAGAATTTCAATTGCAGGCACAATTTCAAGTAACAGTAAAAACCTGCATCGAAGTACATTTCGTATAAAGACTATATAGAACCATCCGAAAAACTTACCCTTTTAATGGGTGAATACAAATGGATGAAGGATTTTCAAGGTTTTGATTTATAACAATATATGGAGAAACATTTGAATGTGGACACAAGACTTCGATAACAGCTCCAGTTGGCTTTTTTCTACCATAATACAGATTTCCTGTACAAATAAACAACCTAAACATTTTGTACATTGTGACCACCTGTTCATACCTATAATACTTATAATGTGACAGCAACCTCTACAACTAATTTAACTGTTCATACCTATAATACTTATAATTTGACAGCTACCTCTACAACTAATTTAACTGTTCATACCTATAATACTTATAGTTTGACAGCTACCTCTACAACTAATTTAACTGTTCATACCTATAATACTCATAATTTGATGGCTACCTCTACAACTAATTTACCTGTTCATACCTATAATACTTATAATTTGACGGCTACCTCTACAACTAATTTACCTGTTCATACCTATAATACTTATAATTTGACAGCTACCTCTACAACTAATTTACCTGTTCATACCTATAATACTTATAATGTGACAGCTACCTCTACAACTAATTTAACTGTTCATACCTATAATCCTTATAATGTGACAGCTATCTCTACAACTAATTCAACTGTTCATACCTATAATACTTATAATGTGACAGCTACCTCTACAACTAATTTAACTGTTCATACCTATAATACTTATAATTTGACAGCTACCCCATAATTAACTTACCTTTTCATCACCTATTCCTTTCATCTGTCGAGCCCCAGAAGGAGGTGATTATATAATGAACATTAGATTTATTTCAAATTGAGAGAGAGAACTTAGGACTAATGATTGTAAATGTTTTCTCATATTAAATTATCTGATTTCATTATTATAGTTTTTTACCAGATTATACAAATGTTAAAACATGGATCATTCATTGCTATCAATTTGTATTGTAATTATCAAATTACCATTCTAGTAATACTGTGATACCTCTCACAGTCAATAACGTAACTACTGACCAGTCTAGTAATGCTATAATACCTCTCACAGTCAATAACGTAACTACTGACTAGTCTAGTAATGCTATAATACCTCTCACAGTCAATAACGTAACTACTGACTAGTCTAGTAATGCTATAATACCTCTCACAGTCAATAACTTAATTATTGACCAGTCTAGTAATGCTGTAATACCTCTCAGAGTCAATAACGTAACTACTGACCAGTCTAGTAATGCTATAATACCTCTCACAGTCAATAACTTAATTATTGACCAGTC